TGTCTTTTTAAAAAATGTGCATACACTATACCTGTGCATGAATATGCCTCTCCTCCCAACAGACTAACTCACTCAACTGCCATAGAGCTATTTGCTAAACCTCTTCAGAACATTGTAAATGTAAAACTGAAAGTAAAAGAAACCACAACTTTCCTTAGCCAGCACAGGAGGGATTTGCTCTTTTGTTTTAGAAAAAGGTTAATAAAAATATTGAAAAAATTCTTCTCCTTTTATATATTTTAACCTAGTAGAATTCAGAAGTTTCTTAGAAAACTATGTTAACCCTCGAAAGAACGTTTAAGTTCACAACCAGCTGCAGAGGATTCACACAATGCCTACGAGCAGTTTGGGATTCCCCCATACAAGAACCAGTTCTAGCAGCATATGCACTAAAATGGGAGAAGAGCAGGGTGCACTTTTGTCATGCTAGCTTTAAATTTTTAGCATAAAAGAAAAAAAATAAGGTGGTTTAAAAAGGCTCTAAACTCAACCAATACATACAAAAAATTAGTTTTTAAAAATAATCATAGCAGTTTGGTCCCAACTCCAAGTTAACATTTAGATGTTTATTCACGTGCTTCATTGTTTTCTTATAAGAACCAAAAATAGTTTCCAAAATTAGCCATCTTAACTACATACACAAAGGCCTAAAATAAGTAGAGTATGAATTTAAAAAACAAAATAGACAGGAGGGGAGAAAAATTTAAGCAGATGAGTTAATCCCCACCTTTATCACCTCAAATTATAAGAGAGAAACAAAAAATGTCAAGATACTGGGTTAAGCTGGGCACAAACCGGAACTCACACTGTCGTCAAAGACTGATGCCAAAAAAAAAAAAAAAAAAACCTGACCATCTAATAAGGTCACAAGAGACAAATGTTAGGATCACACTTAATATTGGACCTTATTCTGTCCAGAAGGTAAAGTCTTTGGGAAGAAAGATATACTCCAACAGTGGATCCGAATGTAAGTGATCAATCCCAGTCCACATGTACAGAGGCTGAATCTTAAAAACGCAGTTAGTATCATTTCAGAGCTACTCTGCAGAGCTCTGTTCAGCATGTCAGCATTACCCTGGCAGATTCCAACACTGCCTAGCCGGATCCTCTTCCGCCTTGCCAGGATGCTCAGGGACATGCAGACCTCCTGATTAGTCAGCAGCTGACTGTAGGTTGTCCTTCTCCTCTCTGTTCTCTGTTCCGCTTTCATCATCCTCAATTTCGCCTTCTTCTCCACTAAATTTATCATGGGCCCACTTGGGGCTAGTGCTTGATTTTCTGAACATGAAACGACCTCTTCCTCGGGGGAAGGCACCCCGGCCTCGGCCTCTGTTCACCCACTTTTCACCACCTTCACCCTCCCGGTCATCGTGCTGCACAGGGAGGAAATCAGCCAGGTCACAGGACATTCACAAACCACTTTCATCGAGAAAGATATAAAGAGGCACAATATCATCTCCCAAAATAATCCCGATTGATTTAAGCTGTGCCACGCTGCAGCACAAACCAGGTCCCCTTATGTTATGCAATGTGCCTCAAGTCAGCAGACAAGTGAATTCAGCACATAAATAATACATGTTTGTGTTTGATTAGTGGCCCACCAATTGAGGCTGGAAGGGAATTGCTCCACTTGCTTTCAACTCTTTTCGTGCATGTGTGTTTCTTTTTCTGGCACAAAGCAGTTTTCAGGACTAGCTTGGACACTGGTGGCACTAACACATTCTAGACTTGATGGGCCTACAGCTCGGAAGCTATTTTATGGAAGTTTACATATGTCATTATATTCGTCCCACCTCACCCTTCTGAACAGCTTCTCAACCATTTTCAGATGTTTTCTTTTGATAGTGTGTTATGTTTACAACACAATTTTAAAAAAAAAACTTTTGGGAACATTTTGCATAAGAGGAAGATGCTATTGGGACAGCTAATTTAGTTTAGGATTATGGATTGGTTACATGACCCAAATATTGTACCTAGTCAAGTAAAGACCAACACAGTACATAATAAAGATTATGTCTTCAAGAGCAATCAGAAGAGAGGGCAGGAGAAGAGACAGCTAGCGTGATTTAGAGGTAAGCCATATATGACCTTTATAATAACTCTGAAGAAAGATTAGAGCAATCACAAATATCCAACAGAAGGGGAGGGGGAAAACACGGTTGCAGCAAATAAGCCATTTAAAACTGATGCTAACTCAAAAGTGAGAAGCCCTAAGAGAAACTCATGCAGGATTTTGCCAGACTAGCAGATGGAAAATGAAAGAATGCTACAGCCAGCAATAAAAGCAAATAGCATTAACCAATCCCAGAAGAAGCAGAGCACTGCACAGAGCTGCGAGATAGATTCTAACAGCTTAAGATGGATTTTCCATACTTCCTGTGAAGCATATGTTCTTCTACTGAACCCTCCAGATTTTGGTTAGTGGCAAACAATGATCAGAGCTGACTGCTCCCTAGTTGTGAGCAAAGATTTCTAAAGGCCTCTTGTGGGGGGTTGGGTGACTTGAGAACCCCAGAAACGGTATTTTAAATGGTTTGATGGTTGCCGGTCCCCTCCCCCTACGAAAACTACACGTGACCTGTAAGAGCAAACCAAATGCACAGCAAGGCATGTTCATACACATCCGCCTTCTTCAGACACGTACCAGATAATACTTTTTGCTTTTGGGTGTGTACTCTGGGTCCCACTCCTCATCCCTATTTCGCTTCTGAAAGTCATTGCTGCTGCCGCTATTATTGTTGTTATTGTTTCCAGAAAAGGTGCCTCTGCTCCATCCTCTCCCTCTTGCTCTGAACTGGAATAGCAGTAAACAGCAGAAGAAAAAAGAGAAGAGCAGGGAGAAAATTGCTTAGAGAAATGGCATTAAGTCTTCTTTCACACAGCTCTAGCTACAGTAACTCCTCACTTAACATTGCCCTGATTAACATTGTTTTGTTGCTTATCTATTAGACCACATGCTCATTTTCAACTCATTTCCCTTATAACATCTTTGGCTACCTGCTTTCCCCATGACTTGCAAGATTTCCTGGACAATCAGCTAGTCCTTGTGGAGACTTGGAACCAGGGTGGGCTGGCAGCCCCCCATAAGTTTCCCTAAGTTCCCTGTAAGCCAGTGCCTAAGACTCCGACCTTGCCCTCTGCTGGTGCTGCTCCTGCAACCCTCTTGCTTGCTGTGCAGGGATGGGCATGTGTGTGCTGATGTCGGCTTCCCCCCCTCCGCCCCGCCACATCAAGACCCACACTCCCTACCCTATCTCCACAGAGCAGGATCTCACAGCTAGAGTCTGGACTTCTGGGTCTTCTCAGACAGGCAATGTACTTGAAGTGGGGTCAGCGTATTTAAAGGGGCAATGCATATCAGTCTGCCCCCCCCTACCCCTCCCACACACACACTGTGTGTCTGTATCTCTCACCCGCCCCCACACCTTGGCATTGTGCAGCCAGGACAGAGGGGTGCATTCCAGCAGGAGAATGTGGGTTCCTTATCATGTTAAGTTTTGCAGGGCAGTGTTTGCAGCCACTGCCATGCACCTATTGTGTTTCCTTCCTCCTGCCTCAGCCCATGCTGTCTCTACAATGTGAGACTACATTAACAGCAAAGTATTAACCCCTTGAGGGCTCAGCTCTGTGCTAGATCATCATTTAGAAACAAGACATTCCTGGGGAAGTAGTCCGCTGACTCCACCACCTTGACCAAGCTTCACGGTCATCTTTGCTGTGTTCTGTACTACACTGTTTAAAATTGTTTAAAACTTATACTATACATAGAATCATAGAATTATAGGACTGGAAGGGACCTCGAGAGATCATCGAGTCCAGCCCCCCACCCTCAAGGCAGGACCAAGCTCCGTCTACACCATCCCTGACAGATGTCTATCTAACCTGTTCTTAAATATCTCCAGAGAGGGAGATTCCACCACCTCCCTTGGCAATTTATTCCAATATTTGACCACCCTGACAGTTAGGAATTTTTTCCTAATGTCCAATCTAAACCTCCCCTGCTGCACTTTAAGCCCATTACTCCTTGTCCTGTCCTCAGAAACCAAGAGAAACAAATTTTCTCCTTCCTCCTTGTGACACCCTTTTAGATATTTGAAAACCACTATCATGTCCCCCCTTAATCTTCGTTTTTCCAAACTAAACAAGCCCAGTTCATGAAGCCTGGCTTCATAGGCTTCTCTAGACCTTTAATCATTCTTGTCGCTCTTCTCTGTACCCTTTCCAATTTCTCCACATCTTTCTTGAAATGTGGCGCCCAGAACTGGACACAGTACTCCAGCTGAGGCCTAACTAGTGCAGAATAGAGCGGCAGAATGACTTCACGAGTTTTGCTTACAACACACCTGTTAATACAACCTAGAATCATATTTGCTTTTTTGGCAACAGCATCACACTGTTGACTCATATTCAACTTGTGGTCCACTATGACCCCTAGATCCCTTTCCGCCATGCTCCTTCCTAGACAGTCGCTTCCCATCTTGTATGTATGGAACTGATTGTTCCTTCCTAAGTGGAGCACTCTGCATTTCTCCTTATTAAACCTCATCCTGTTTACCTCTGACCATTTCTCTAACTTGCTAAGGTCATTTTGAATTATGTCCCTATCCTCCAAAGAAGTTGCAACCCCACCCAGTTTGGTATCATCTGCAAACTTAATAAGAGTACTCTCTATCCCAATATCTACATCATTGATGAAGATATTGAACAGTACGGGTCCCAAAACAGACCCTTGAGGAACTCCACTTGTTATCCCTTTCCAGCAGGATTTAGAACCGTTAACAACAACTCTCTGACTACGGTTATCCAGCCAATTATGCACCCACCTTATCGTGGCCCTATCTAAGTTATATTTGCCTAGTTTATCAATAAGAATATCATGCGAGACCGTATCAAATGCCTTACTAAAGTCTAGGTATATGACATCCACCGCTTCTCCCTTATCCACAAGGCTCGTTATCCTATCAAAGAAAGCTATCAGATTAGTTTGGCATGACTTGTTCTTCACAAACCCATGCTGGCTATTCCCTATCACTTTATTACCTTCCAAGTGTTTGCATATGATTTCCTTAATTACCTGCTCCATTATCTTCCCTGGGACAGACGTTAAACTGACCGGTCTATAATTTCCTGGGTTGTTCTTATTCCCCTTTTTATAGATGGGCACAATATTTGCCCTTTTCCAGTCTTCTGGAATCTCCCCTGTCTGCCATGATTTTTCAAAGATCATAGCTAAAGGCTCAGATACCTCCTCTATCAGCTCCTTGAGTATCCTGGGATGCATTTCATCAGGACCTGGTGACTTGCTGACATCTAACTTTCCTAAGTGATTTTTAACTTGTTCTTTGTGTATCCTATCTTCTAAACTTACCCTCTCTCTGCTTGTATTCACTACGTTAGGCACACCTCCAGACTTCTCGGTGAAGACCGAAACAAAGAAGTCATTGAGCATCTCCGCCATTTCCAAGTTCCCTGTTACTGCTTCTCCCTCCTCACTAAGCAGTGGGCCTACCCTGTCCTTGGTCTTCCTCTTGCTTTTAATGTATTTATAAAAGGTCTTCTTGTTTCCCTTTATGCCTGTAGCTAGTTTGATCTCATTTTGTGCCTTTGCCTTTCTAATCTTGCCCCTGCATTCCCGTGTTGCTTGCCTATATTCATCCTTTGTTAGTTGTCCTAGTTTCCATTTTTTATATGACTCCTTTTTTATTTTGAGATCATGCAAGATCTCCTTGTTAAGCCAAGCTGGTCTTTTGCCATATTTTCTATCTTTCCTACACAGCGGAATTGTTTGCTTTTGGGCCCTTAACAACGTCCCTTTGAAATACTTCCAACTCTCCTCAGTTGTTTTTCCCTTCAGTCTTGCTTCCCATGGGACCTTACCTACAAGTTCTCTGAGCTTATCAAAATCTGCCTTCCTGAAATCCATAACCTCAATTGTGCTGGTCTCCCTTCTACCTTTCCTTAAGATCATGAACTCTATTATTTCATGATCACTGTCCCCTATACTGTCTTCCACTTTCAAGTTCTCAACTAGTTCCTCCCTATTTGTTAAAACCAAATCCAGAACAGCTTCTCCTCTGGTAGCTTTTTCAACCTTCTGAAACAGAAAGTTGTCTCCAATGCAGTCCAGAAACTTATTGGATAGCCTGTGCCTCGCTGTGTTAGTTTCCCAACATATGTCTGGATAGTTGAAGTCCCCCATCACCACCAAATCTTGGGCTTTGGATAGTTTTGTTAATTGTTTAAAAAAGGCCTCATCCACCTCTTCCACCTGGCTAGGTGGCCTGTAGTAGACTCCTAGCATGATATCACCCTCGTTTTTTACCCCTTTTAGCTTAACCCAGAGACTCTCTACACAGCTATCTCCTACGTTCATCTCCACTTCAGTCCAAGTGTGTACATTTTTAATATACAAGGCAACCCCTCCTCCCTTTTTTCCCTGTCTGTCCTTCCTGACAGAATGTGCTCAGCATGTTTGTCTTAGACCTGCCCACTCTTCCCTGTTGAAGAAACAAAAACATGAACAGGGAAGAACTGTTCATTCTTCTTTTAAAAGACTAGGGGGGCAGTGTCCCCTGCTCTCTCTGCTTCCAAACTCAGCCATCTCCTACGTTCATCTCCACTTCAGTCCAAGTGTGTACATTTTTAATATACAAGGCAACCCCTCCTCCCTTTTTCCCTGTCTGTCCTTCCTGAGCAAGCCGTACCCTTCCATACCAACATTCCAATCATGCGTCCCATCCCACCAGGTTTCTGTAATACCAATGATATCATAGTTATATTTATTTGTTAGCAATTCCAGTTCTTCCTGCTTATTACCCATACTTCTCGCATTTGTATATAGGCATCTAAGATACTGATTTGATCTTGCCTCCTTGTTGCATGTATAACACAGGTTGAAATCCTGTCGTCTGGCACACATCTGGCAAAATCCATATTTTGGCACGATTTTAGTGAGCCGGATGTCCACTTATCTTGGGTATGGCCAAGTTTCCCACAGTCACCAGGCCTGGCTTAATTTGTTCTGTGCTGTGATTTAGCTCCAGTTTATCCCTGAATGTCTTCTAAGAGCCCAGTAAGCAGTGGAAGTGTTGGTAATGCTGCTAGACAATACTGACCTCCCACGGTTCAGAAAGTCTCTGGTATGGCACCGGTCAGGTCCCAAAGATACCAGACGAGAGAGATTCAACCTGTTCTATCTTTTGTATGCTTAAAAAGAAAGTCCCCTGGAACCTAACCTCCCTATTTACATTAAGCAAACCCAATTTTCCCATAACAATTAAAGTACCATTTTTCAGGAACAGAACCATAATGTGAAGGGAGGAGTTTACTGTACCTCTAGCCTTGCCATACAACGACACCTACCACTCTCATTATCCATTGGTAATACGTTTGTTCTTATCTGATCATATAGCGGTGTACTTCTAGGAGTAGCTGTGTGCACTTGTCAAGTGTGCAGGGGAAGGCATTCACACATACAATGCACAAACACAGCAGGACTATTTAAATTTAAACACGAGCCATTTCCAAAGGAACCAGTGAAATTATAGCCAGAGTCATTAAAATGTCTCCATTATAAGTTCACAGAGACCAGCTTGTCTTTACTCCTGTCAGTGCTGCTAAGCAAATGCTGACACACAAGATCTGACTGGGTTGGATATGGTCTCAGGCATCAGCAACAGGACCACTAGTTTCAATCTCCAGAATTTATGCTGGGCTGGTGATTGGGAACAACCACCAAGTGCAGAATCACAGCCAAAACTGTACTTCCAGTCACCTTTCAGATCACATTTTACCTGGTAAAAGCAGCAATTTGCACAAAGGCTTATGCAAAAGGTTTTAGCTATATTTTGGGGGTAACTTACGAAGGTCCCTCTAGCTCTTCCTCTTTCGTTTGGGCCAGTGAACTCTTTTGTCCCAAGCCGAGATTTATCAAAGCCTGTGGTGCTCTCTTCCCTCTCCTCGTTCTCCTCAGGGTAGTCCTCCCCTTTGTATGAACGAGAAGATTGTGAAGATGAAGAAGTGGATCTGGATCGCTCACGCACATATTTTGGGGGTAACTTACGAAGGTCCCTCTAGCTCTTCCTCTTTCGTTTGGGCCAGTGAACTCTTTTGTCCCAAGCCGAGATTTATCAAAGCCTGTGGTGCTCTCTTCCCTCTCCTCGTTCTCCTCAGGGTAGTCCTCCCCTTTGTATGAACGAGAAGATTGTGAAGATGAAGAAGTGGATCTGGATCGCTCACGCACTCTCCTGTTAAATCACTATCTCAACTCTGAAGTCATGCTACCATTCCTCCGCCTTCCCTTATTATATCCATACACAGCCAAAGTGACAGCTGCTAACGGCCCAGGATCAGCTATAAAGTGCAGATCAGTGAGATCTCAGGACAGCTCCTTTTCCCAGGATTTGTTCTTAAAACCATAGACAAATTGTAAGGATCCATCTGACATTTTCAGCTTATATTATTTGTACTAAGGTAGCCTAACAGAAGCCCAACAGAGAACAGAACCCACTGTGCTAGATGCTGTACAAACACAGATTATATCTGCCTAGATCTTACAGATTAAACAACCAGGACAAGGGAAGAGAGAAAATGGAAAGTGACTTGCTTAAGGTTATACAGTAAGTCAGCAACAGAGCTGGGACTAGTACAACTCAGGTCTTCTGTCACTGTGTCCACGGAGTCGTGCTCTCTGATCACAGAGGTGTTTAAACCTATTGTTCAGCTATGAAGCCAAAACTAATTTATTTGTCCTATTGGACTCCTTTCTCCAGTAGGTATCTCAACATGAACCATTAACGAAGGGGGGAATAAAACACTCAGCTGACAAGGCACTTTTTGTTAAGAGTTTCCAGTTATAACACATTTGTAAAGGAAATCCAGCTGCATTTTGGGTTACATAAGAAACTTTGCAAACTGTACCTTTATAAGAAGAAAGAACATTGTCAGCAATCACATGGCTAGAAGAACATTACAGAATAATTCTATGAGGTTGAGCTGTTACCATGATCCAGCAAAGCACTTAGGCATGTGCTTTAACTTGAAGCACACAATAGCCACACTGACTTTAATGAGAAAATTCATGATTCACGGTGAATAAAAGTTTTGATGGATCGGGACCCAGCCTGCCAATTGTGTCAATTTATGAATATGCGCTAAAAGGCTATTTCTCCACCAATTTTGACAGGCACGATGTCATTCAAAAGCCAGCAGCTTATAGATGAGCAGTAAAGGTGTTTTATCTAAAAATTAAGTCACTTATTGGTCCAGTGAACTTAAAAACACATTCTCCTGGGTTACAAACAGATTATTTTGGCGCTGTGACTTGTATATGAGTTAACAGGAAAAATGGAACCAATGGGAATGAATCCAAGAGCAAATCAATGGAGTCCCTAACAGCACTTCTCTGTTTTGTGTGAAATGAAGGCCTTACCGAACAAACCAACCAACCAGTAGTATGTTCAACCTGGGACAAGCAGCCACTTCAGTTTGTCTTTCTGTGTCTAACCACCGAAGCCAAGCACAACTCAGCTTATTAGTTATAGTAGCAGGCATACCACTAATTCCATAAGGCAAAGGCTTGTTTCCAATCACAATGGTAAGGGTCACACTGCCCATGAAAGCGGATGATTCTATATATTTTGGCTAGTCTCTAAGGTCCTACAGGACAATCTGTAACTTTAAAAGCAAATGAACACGGCTACCCCTCTGAGTTAATAAAGAAATGACGACTAGCATCCTACATACTTCTTTTTTGAGCCTTTGTGAGTTCTCTCAGGTTTCTCAGTTGATCTTTCCCTTGAATGGCTTGAATCTCTTGAGTCCACCGATTCTCTCGACTTCTCTCGTTTAAGATCTCTTTCCTTATGTTTTTTACGGCGTTCAATATCAAGGCGCAGATCAACTGGGTCATCTTTATATTTCCCTTCAGTCTGCAAAGGCAGGGAATGGGTGAAAGTTTAACAGAAAGGTCTAGCAGCTTGTCAAAGATTTCAGCACCATTACTTTGCTATAGCGTGCAGAGACATCCAGCGGGCATAAGTTTATAAACCAACCATTCACAGATGCAGAATGATTCACTACAAGAATATAACATTTATTTGAAGTTTTCAGTTTTCCTACATATTTTATTTTTATATACACACTGCCCCTTTAAAATAGTATAAACCTAGCTTGATAGTACAGGAGGCGAGAGATCAGGAGACCAAAGATTCACTGTGATACATAACCCTAGCTAAAATTAATGTTAGCAGCTAATGGTCTTCTAAAGGAGTCAGGTCCAACTGATTGTGTCACAACTGGGGTGCATATACAGCCCTAGCTCTTTGTGTTTCTCGTATTCAAAGAATTCCTCCCCATCCTATCACTCCTTATACAAACTAGACCTGTCTCTATGAAGGACAGAAGACATTTTCAAATGCTAGACCTGAAGGCAGCACTGACAGAGAAGCAACAGCTGTTGGCCACTTGGAAGATGTGATGCTAACAATATTGTTACTGATTCAAGTGGCAGAGTTACACAGAGGCCTGAAAAATGCAGCTATTAAGTTTATTCTGGGAAATATGAACATTCTTAGAAACTTTTTTAATCGCTGTCAACTGAAACCAAACACCCTTTCAGCAGCACCCTATGCATGACACGCCAGTTGCTCTCTATTTCAGAGAACCAGGGGACATTCTACACAAGATTTTCCCCTCCATGTATCTGTCTAGCAGGTCTATTAAAGTAAGTTACAACGGTGCATTATGAAGAGAAAATAGCCAATAACCAGAAAAGGAATAGTCAAGAATAGTATAGTTAATTGTATGCAGAAAAATCTTCAACAATAGCTACAATCTTTTAAATTTAGCCAATGAGGAAATTTTCAGGGTGTGTATCACTTGTCCTAATACCAATTTTCAATTAAAAATTCTCCTTTGCAAAAGGAAAATAGTTATTGGGTTAACCACACAGGCTCTAGACTATTTGCACAGTCCTATACTTGGGAACTGCATAACTTGATTTGCAACATACACCAGATAATTAGATACGTCTTGAATTAAATAAAAAGAGGGATTAGTAATTCTCTAGCAATTAAATGTTTTACTTACATGAATTTCTAAACACTTTTTTTGTTTAAATAAAGATTAATTTCAATTAGCAGCAGGAGTGGGAGTTGGTGCTTTGTTTGTATTGTTTGCTCTTCTGCTTTCCCCAGGCAAAGGGTTTTAACTATCACTCAGAGCAAAAATGCTCCCAGAACGATGGTTGATAGGTAAGTGACAAAATCAACAGCAGCAACCTTAAGTAGCACAGAAGACACCTATTGCGTTTGTGAGGGCACATTCTTTTCATGAAGGACTGGAGAGCTGTTTGAAAACCATGTTTTTGTTATAACACTGCCCAGCTGGTGCTCAGAGATCAGGCCCATCAAATTCATCTCACCATCGTCCATGTCAAGGCACAAGTTTGTTTGGGGAAAAAAATCAAAAACAAATATATGAAACAAG